ATAGGCCGGATGCAGTGGCTCACGCCTGTAATTCCAGCACTTTGGGAGGCTGAGGTGGGCGGATCACCCAAGGTCAGGGGTTCGTGACCAGCCTGGCCAACATGGTGAAACCTATCTCTACTAAAAATACAAAAATTACCGGGCATGGTAGCATGTGCCTGTAATCCCAGCTACTCGGGAGGCTGAGGCAGGAGAATTGCTTGAACCTGGGAGGCGGAAGTTGCAGTGAGCCAAGATCGTATCATTGCACTCCAGCCTGGACAATAGAGTGAGACTCTATCTAAAAAAAAAAAAAAAACCAACTACCACATAGCTTAGCCTAGTCTACCTTAAATGTGGGTCAAACGCTTACTTTAGTCTGTAATTGGGCAAACTCATCCAATGCAATGCCTATTTTATGATAAAGTGTAGAATAGCTTATGAAATTTGTTGAATACTGTACTGAGTAAAAAATGGAATGCTTGTATGGGTACTCAAAATATGGTTTCTACTGAACGTGTATTGCTTTTGCATAATCATGAAGTCAAAAAATTGTAAGTGGAAACCTCAGAAGTCAGAGGCCATTTGTACTAGTGTTTTCTAGATTCTTCCTTCTCTATACAAGCTTCATGGGGGGGGACATCTTGCACTCCTAGCTTCAACAAATCTAAAACCCAAAGACTATCCTTGATCCATCCCTAGCCCTCAATTCCCATATACCATCAAACATCAAGTCCTGCTGTTTCTGTCTCTTAAGTATCTCCCAAATCCTCCCCTTTTTCTCCATCTTCACAGCAATCACATCATCAGTTAAACTAAATTTGGCCTAAGGATGCCTTCATACTCAAGTCCAAAATGAACTGCAACCTTACTTAGTATGTAAATTAACTAAAAACCTAAACTAACAGCTGAGTCTCAGTCAGTTCAGCAGCTGAGCTTCAGTCAATCTCAGGCAGCTGACTGATTCACATAAGGCAAAACACTGAGCTGCAGCCAATGAAGCTGTCTCTGTACCTTACTTCTTCCATTTTCTTCTTATAAATGCTGCCTATGTTGTAGGCTGGAGTTCTTAAAACCTATTCTGGTTCTTAGGGGTCCCCAATTCACAAATGGTTGTTTGCTCAATTAAACTCTGTTAAATTTAACTTCTTTAAAGTTTTTCCAGTTAACAAATCCAAGCCACTGTAATCTCCAGCCTGGACAACTGCAGTAGCTTCCTAACTGCTTTACTTCTGGCCGCTACTGTCTTCCAAGCCATTGTCTATATTTCAGCCACGGTGACTCTTTTGTAATACAAACCTGATTAAATATACCTCTTCTTGTCCCAACCTGCTTTAAATAATTCAATGGCTTTCTGATGCTCTTAGTATAAGATCCACATTCTTAGCATGACCTTGAAGGCTCTGCATGGTATGGCTCCTGTTCTCTAGTCTGATTTTAAATCAATTTCTCACATACTCTGGACACCACTGGCCTCCAAAGAACTGTGTTCCCTCCACAGGCTGCCCTTGATATCTGTTAGCCCCCAACCTAGAAACTCTCTCTCCTTCCAACTATTATTTATCTCTTAGGCCTCAGCTCAAAAGTTACTTCCTCAGGTCTAGGTCTGAAAAAAAAAAAAAAGTTACTTCCTCAAAGACAGCCTCCCTTGAACCTCCCAACTAGGTTACGTTCCCCCATTAGATGTCCTCAGAGCACCATGCAGCTCTTCATAGCATTTACTATGGTTGTAATTAATCAGCTTTTCAGCCTTTCGTGTTCCCCTCCATGCCACAGGCTCCAGGGACTATTTGTTTTGTCCATTCTTGTACTGTACTCCCACCTCAAATATATTTTGAATGAATGAAATACAACTTTCAAATCCGTATCTCAAGTCAGTCTCCTCTTCTGAACTTCCAACCCAGGTATCTAGTTTGTTGGCAACACCATCCTTCTAATTGCTCAGGCCCAAATCTTGGTGTCATTTTTCATTCCTCTGTTTTTCAACCCCTGGTTGAAAAATCTGTACCATTAGCAAATCTATCATATCTGTCTTCAAAATATATCCAATATCTCAGCCACACAGAGTGTACCTCAAATATATCCAATATCTCAGCCACACAGAGTGTACCTCCTAACGGAAGAACCCCCCACCTAGGAAGTTGTCTTGTTTCTTCCTAGACTATGATCACAGAATTTCTTCGGAACGAAATTGCAAAGGGAAAAAATAGAAAATCTATAGATTAAAGGACAGGTATATCAACTAATTGTAGAATGGGACTTTAGTTGGATTCTGTTTCCAGTTGTAAAAAAAATTATAATGATGGGACAACCAGAAATTTTAACGAAGGAACTTGATGATATTAAGGAAATGTTAATTTTTAAGGAATGGTTATGATATGGTTATATTAAAAATGTTGTTTACCTTTTCAGAGATGCGTTCTGACATATTTACAGATGAAATGGTATGATGTCTAGGATCTGCTTCAAAATAATACAGTGGAGAAGGAAAGTAGATGAGGGTATTGATGAAACAACATTGGCTATGAATTGTTGATTGCTGAATGATGGATACACTGGGTTTTACCAAACTATTCTACCTCTGCATAGGCTTTAAAATTTCCATATTACAAAATTTAAAAATCTATCTCCCGAATGTGACCCATTTCTTACTGTCTCCACTACTCCCACCCTCTTCCAAGCCATTGTCATCTCCTGCCACAGCCTCCTATCTCATCTCCCTGCCTCCACCCTTGCCCCGGCCTGTGGTCTATTCACTACACTGCAGTAAGAGTGATCCTTGTAAGCACATCAGATCCTTCCACTCTCTGCTGAAGTCCTCCAAAGGCTTCCCATCTTGCTTGGATATTGTGTTACCTCTCTCTGAGTTCACCTCCTACTACCCAGCCCCTCCTTTGCTTGCCCACTGCCTTATGCTTTCAGGATAGAGGTTCGACTCTGGCAAAGCCAAGGCCCTGACGATGTGTCCCACGTGCCTCTCCAGGTTCATCATCCCAAAACCCAGGCTTTTGGAACAACCTACATTCCTCCGTGGCTCCTTTGTTTTAGTCGCTCCTCTCTAGACCTGACCCCTCTGGTGAAGCCAAGCTCCACTAGTCTCTGCTCAGTATCACTTCTCTCTGCTTTGGTTCTAGGCCTCTTAAGAGCTCAGAGTTTTGTTTTATGATCATCTATTGTCTCATCAATCTCCTTCACCAGACTTAAGTTCCTCAAAGGCACAAGCTACCTCACATCTCTATAGTCCTAGTTCAGCAGTAAAAATTAAGTATATTTTGAATAAATGAATTACACTTTTACATAAGTTAGCATTATTATTTTTTGAGATGGAGTCTTGCTCTGTGGCACAGGCCAGAGTGCAGTGGCATGATCTCGGCTCTCTACAACCTCCACCTCCCAGGTTCATGTGATTCTCCTGCTTCAGCCTCCCCAGTAGCTGGGATTATAGGCACCTGCCACTACGCCCAGCTGATGTTTTGTATTTTTAGTAGAGATGGGGTTTCACCATGTTGGCCAGCCCATTCTCCAACTCCCGCCTCGGCCTCCCAAAGTGCTGGGATTACAGTTGTGAGCCACCATGCCTGGCTGCATTATTACATCTTTAAAATGTCTGTTTACCAGTTTCTCTAACTGGAATAAAATACTTTTGCCTATAATTACATACGAGTCATATATTTTAAAATTATTGCAAAAAAGTGTTTGATTTTCCAGAAAAACATTCCAAATAGAATGTTTTAGATGTTACTAATGAAATAAAAATATAACATTTCTAACTAGTTCGTCCATTCGTTGTCTAAATTTAGAGTGAATAGTTCTAAATTGCACACCCAGCCAACTTTCTTGCTCACTGACCATCTTGCTTGAAGAATTGGGTTAGGAGGTACAAACTAGGGAGGGAGCAAAGGGGGCTTCTCTCTCCAGAAGAGAAATCAATAGCTGGTCAGGATTTGGGGAGGGGGAGTGGGATGGGGATGAGTTCTTGGATATGGAGGAAACCTAAGTGGAAGAACTGTTGCTTCTCTAAAAAGAAACTCATACAGACAGATGGGAGTGGAACCAAATCAATCAGTAGGTGATGAGATAAGACAAAGAGCAGTAGGAATGAAAATATCCGAAGTGATGGAAAAGAATGTACTAACAGTTTTTGTTTTATGCTTTTACTTTCTCAATTTTTACAAATTCTTTCAATATTAAATGTTTTCTTTTAGATAATGAAATTAGTTTTAGCAGATAACAGTTATCAAATTTTTGGTGAATCTGGTTTGGATTGCCCTTCCAATACAAAATTGATGCTACTGGCCAGCCATTGGTAGGCCTGGCAGTAATTTTCTCTGTGTTGGTGATGGACTGTGCTGCCTGAGCCACCGACATCCCCTCTCACATGTCCCACTGGGACAAACTGCAGGCATTTGCAAGATAGTTAGCTAAGTTTAGGAGTAGAGTCTATGACGACGGAACGTATTTTTTTCTTTGTGTGAAAATTACTAGCCTATAATGCCATTACAATTTTACTCCATATCCTTAAAAAAGTGCACAAATTTTACTGATTTTATAGGGCAATCTCCTGAGATATAAGGGAAGCCCAATTCAGGGGAAGCTGAATCCGACACAGCCTCCTTTAATCCCGTTCCAGGGCAGTCACTAACTGCCATCCTAAAGCTGCATTACTTTATCATGTCTCCTTTCCTCATACTCTGTTCAGTTTCTATAAATCACTTTTCTCTACAGTGTTGAGAAGGAACAAAAACATGGGCTTTGGAGTCAGGCAGACCTAGGTTAGCATCCTGGCTTTGTCTGGTTGTGAGACCTTCTCAAAGTCACTATAAAATGAGGATAATGAGGTTGAATTCTGGTGTGTGTGTGTTAATGAAATAGCCTATGTAAAGACGTTGCCTAGTGCCTGGTACTCAATAAATGTAATTTGTTTCCCGCGGATGAGTGGAGCAGAATGCTTCCTGGAGAGCATTTCATTCTCTGATTTATCATTATAAGATCAGGCCTATCCAAAACACTCAATCATCAGAAGACTTCAATCTCTTTTATTCTGCTTTTTTCCTAATGTCATAATCCATTTGACTCCTAAGCACGTAAGTAGGTACCACGGAATGTAAACAAGTAAGGAAACAGAAATATACCGAATGAATAATACGTGGAAACAAAGCTGTGACTCAGATGAAATAGCTGCACGAAAGAAATAACATTAAAACATTTAAAAAGAGACTTAATATAGGAATAAGCTATTTTAATCAAGCAAAAACAAATTTATATCCATTATTTCTAAAAATAAAATTAGACTTTTCCAATCCTTAACATCTGCATTTAATAATATCTTCTAACCAAAATACAGATGCTAAAACAGCAAGTTACATTATATCTTGTACAGCATACAGTATGTTCACTGTTTACACTTACTTTAATTCTAGTTGGTCATGTACTCAATGCATACTTAAACATCACTCAATAAAATTTTCACAATTAACAAAAAAAGTGACAAGGCTGTCTTAAAACGGCTCTGCTATAAATTGTATAGAATATACAGAATTACAAAGTCAAGTATTTTTTTTTATCAAAATATACACCCCTCCCTGAAACTAACACAAGCTATCAACATTTTAAATGAATACAATTATAGAAAATATTTGCAAAATTATTTTTTCATGTATAAATATTCTGCCATATTTACTTTGGTCTAGAATTATCAGCATACAAGTCCCACTTAAAAAATATCCACATGTAAGGGCTGGGAGAGAGACATCACTACAGGTAATTTTATATTTGGGGTTAACTGAAATCAAAATGACTACAGTACACACTAATTATCTTTGATTCATATTATTAACTGATAAAACAAATTAGTGGATCACAGGATTGCTTATTCAATGTTCTAATTATCAATTCAAAAATGATTTTCATAAGCCCTTTGTGACTATCTAACAAAACCCAAATGAATAGTGTAGGGTATACATATATACAATGTATAAAATAAAGTTGAATTTGCTTGCATTTTCCCATTTTTCTCTACTTATATAATACTGTATGTAAGTGAAAGTAGATGAACAAAAGATAAATGCAGATACAATAGTGGGGTTACTTAACAGCAAGGTACTACAGTATTAAAAGGTCAACTTTAATCATGTCCTTTCGTGGGTGTTTAAATCCTTTCTTACCCACCCAAATCCATACTAAGTCTTCTTCATGGAGACATCACACTTGTAGAGAGAAACCGGAGTCCTTTAAGCTACTTCTTCACAATGATAACCTTCCAATCTTCGATAACCTTGGGTTTCCATTCGTCAAATCCAATGAACATGAATGACTGCAGGTCAGGCTGAAACTGCATTCCGGATTCTGTTCACACCGGTGATCAAAGGGTAGAAATGTTTTCTCTCTCCCTCCCATTCTGGCAGTTTAAAAAAGAATCATGCATTCCAGCTTTCCAGGAACCTGGTCCACATGATAGAATATGATGTAGGGCAATTAGATTTGAGGGTAATGTTGATGGTGTGGGTCAGTGTAAAAGAACATTAAAAAGACTTCAGTGGGTTTTTAGCAAGGGGTGTAGATGTCTGCAAATATGACGACAGAGCATCTGGCTTTGTAGATATATTTCTGAGTCTCATAAGTAAACGATAGAACCATGTCACTCCACATTCTACCTTTCCATCCCCTAAAAACAAAGCTATTGTTTTAGGCAAGGAAGGCCATCACTTCTTCTTGCCCACTCAAGTCATTAATGGGTGGGGTGGAGGGTGGGGGTTCCTTTGCCCTTTTGCTTTATACTAGTCTGTACTTGTGGGCTGCATAATCTCCAAGAAGGCTAGTAATTACAATTACTAGGGATTAGGCAGTCACTTTCAAGTGCCTGGGAATTCACTACTGCAGTGTACCTTGCACTAAATCTCTTGGACAGTCCTTCAGTGGAATGGGAGATGGCAGCTTCCACTTGAACCCTTAAGTCTGTCTGGAATAGACCCCCCACATCCATGGCCTTGTGGTGGTTGGAAGACTGCAGAGAGTTTCAGAAGAATGTGACCCTCTTTCATTCTCTGAGATGAGGCCATTGCAAAGTAATATGCAGCACAGGTAATCACAGGTAAATTCTGGGAGGGTGTTCCCCCATAGATAAGGCATGACCTATGTTTTCTGTGAATTGAGTAGACCAGTTCTAAGAACAGCTGAGCCATAACTTCAAGGGAACAGCATTCCATCTAAAAGCATTCACATGCTCTGAAATCATATTCAAAATGCTTTCTACTGATTTTTACATCAGTCCTCATTATTTGCAGATCTATTGCTCCTCATAATTCTCTACAGGGGATATGGACAGTTAAAAGTTATAGTGATTTATATATGTATTTTACAAGGTTTGTGTTGCAGAAAAGTAGTTCTACATAATGTATGAATGTCCTACTTTAGGTTACTCATTATGCACATAATTTCAGTTATATTGTTTAAGTATTTCATGTGTATCCATTAATTTAAACAAATTTTAATAGTGCAGAAGCCAGATGGGAATAAAGACCGTCACACAGCTCATTACCACGTAACATATTTACGAAGATGCCATCTTCATTTTCTCCAGTGACTAAAGACAGTTCAGCAGCCAGTTCCTATTAGCAATTATTAGAAAGTTTCAAACTAGGCTAAAATTAAACTCCTTTTTTCACTGGTAGAAATACCACAGCTAAGAACTTCATTAACTTTCACAAGAAACTTGGGATACTGGAGGAGTCAGCTATTTTGTTTTTGTGCACTTTGCATAAAGTTAATGCTAAAACCCAAAGTAGATATTAGGATCCTTTTTCTGGAATTTTCACAAATGAGTGTTTTTTTGTTTTGTTTTTAAATTTCACTCCTTTATGACTGTTATGTGAATAAAATTAAACTAAACTTAAATCATAACCAAAAAAAAAAACACCAACTATATTTTTGAAGATTTTTCTAACTCTTGCCACTCAAAGGACAACATTTTCCACACCGGTTTGTATGTTATCCTTTTGGTCATTGTCTTCTGAATCAATGAAATGTTGATTCTCCAAGGGATTTGAGTTTTCGTGGCACATGTCACCTATTTTCTCCTGCTGACTTGGGCTTTTGAATAAGTGTTTCTTTTGGTGCATTCCAAGGGCAGCAGCTGTTTTGCAAATTTTGGGGCACTGGAAGCAGGCATAGCCCTTCCCATTATGCTCCCGAATATGCCTCTGCTCATGATTCCTTTTGGTGGAGAGATACAAAAATCTCTGAAAGCAGAACTGACAGTGGTAACGCTTTTCTCCAGTATGGATTCTTTCATGGATTTTGAGGGTCTCATTCAAGGTGAACGCCTTGTTGCAATACTGACAGACAAACTCCTTCAAGCCCAGGTGGATGCGTTCGTGTTTCTGTAAGTTTCCTTGCACCGAAAAGCACCGTCCGCAGGTCTTGCACTGGTATGGCTTTTCCCCGGTGTGACATCTCATGTGCATTTTGAGTGTGGAAGGGCTCTGGAACTGCTTGGCGCAGAGCTCGCAGGTGTATGGCCGAGAAGTAAGATGTCGGTGGGGCCTTCCTTGGTTTCCAGCCCCCGCTGCTTTGTCTCCGTCACAGAGTTCACACTGCAGCTTGGGCATCTCTTTAGTTTCTTCTTCCTCAAAGGGTTTATCCTGAGGAGCCTTCCCCACGGCGCAATCCAGTTCTGCTGGGTATTTACATTTATGGCTCGGGCTCCTGTTTCCGTGCTCCTTCCTCCAGTTGACTTTCCTCATTTTTCTCAACTGTCTGGATTTCTTTTTGGGTTTGTAGTTGTAGTAAGGGCGCCACGGTTTGTCAGTGGAATCCTGGTCACTTGCGTCATCGAACACTTCACTCATCTCCATGCACTCGGATTGGCAAAGCCCGAGTGGGCTGTCTCCACTGGGTTCCGGGTCATTCCCCTGTGGCAAAGGCTCCTCCTGCATCTGATACTTAGGTCTTCTCCCTCTTTTATAAAACAATTTAGATCCTAGGATGTGCCTTTTCACAATGGCTTCGTTTCCAATTTTCACTGTTATTTGGCAAAGGGGTGCAACATTACTATTTGTGGAGGTTCCCGGCAGAGCAGGTTTTGCAATGTAGGTTTCAATTTTACTGGTTTCTTCAGTAATATTTGTGGTTTTGCTCAATGATCCTCCAGGATCGGCAACATATTTTGACTCCTCTGGTATTTCTCCCCTGGTATGTGATGTAGTTTTCTTTTTCTCCTTAATGCTTTTGGGTCTGCTTGCAAACTTACCCACTTTATCTGGCTCAGGCTTACTGTCATCTTTCAGGGACTGACTGACAGCTGGGTCTGAAAAGGCTCTGTGGTTGCTGCTGGTCATGGCAGCAATGGCATTGCTGTGCATGATCACCGATGAAAACTGGCTGCTGTGTACAATGACCGAGGGTGCAGAGCCACTGTAGCTGATCACAGAGGCGGCATTCTCACTGTTGTTACTCAAGGATAAAACAGGTACATCCCCTGCCCGGAGGTCAGAACTGACAGCATTTTCAGTGGAAGAAACTGACACCTCAGCTGAATAAAAGTTGTTGTCAAGATCAATTTTCAATGCCTCCTCTCCCCATTTGGTGCCCTCTGCATTTTGTACATTGGCAGAAGTGGGTATGTCCTGACATGCAGATGTTTCCAATGGGATGGCTGGACTGTTGGTCAGGGTGTTTACAGTATCTTGGAAATTCAGCGTAGGTAATTCAGAGCTGTGTGGATTCTGAACAACATAGGTACCAGGTGCAGACTCATTCATTTGACTGTTTTCTCGTGCATTTTCATAGGAAGAATTTCGGTAGCTTTTATAAGGGGCCCTTTTGCATTTCATAGGCAGTAGCCTATAAAGTTTATATGGATAGACACTAGGCTTCAAGCCTCCATTTGCTGTTTTTTTACTGATGGAAAGTCTATGATCGATGGCATGGAAAGACTTCTGATGATTTTTGAGTATATAGTAGGTCATGAAAGTTTCAAGACAGAAAATGCACTGATATCGTCTTTCTCCCGTATGCCAAATTTCATGCCTTGTCCTGTACTCAGCCAATGCAAATACTTTGTTGCAGTAATGGCAAGGATATGTTCTTCTCCAGGAGTGAACATTTGCATGTCTTCGGAGGCTAGATAAGGTCACATAACTACGTTTGCACACAACACAACTATAGAGCATTTGCCCATTAACAAATTTAACCATGTGGTCCGTGTCTGGCAAAGTACTTCCGGTACTGGAAAATTCACCAATCCTATTTTCAGATAATAAAGGTTCTGGACCCGTGAATGAACCTCCATTTTGTCCAATGGTAGGATAGTTTTCTAAAAAGCGTTGGTTTCCTCCAGGAATGGGCATGTGGCTTGACCTCATGCAGATCTGTTCATGCCGATCCAACCTGTTCAGGGTGGTGAACTGTTTGTTGCAATACTTGCACACTAAAGGCTCCTGGGTTGGCTTGTGAAGCTGCATGTGGGCACTGAGCAGAGTGCTGCTGTCAAAGGCTTTGGAACAGCAGCTACAGTTGTACACCAGAGGTGGAACCTCTGCTGCTGGCGGCCCGGGAACATCAGAAGATTGATTTTCATCTTCCCTGGAAAAATGGACATCTCCTTCATTGTTTGGAGATTTTGAACGAGCGAGAACGGCAGCTGGCTGTGGACTTCTTTCTTGATTAACCTCTAAGTTGGATACTGGAGGGGGTGGTATATTTTCTGTGGCTGAATCAGAATCCTGTGGTATGGAGAATGTCTTTGGCTTCCGACATGTTTTCGGTTTTGCTGCAAGGGCTTCGCAGTTTTCTTTCCCTGTGTTACCAGGTGAACTGCCATCATGTTCACGTACAGGCTGACTTCTGTAAGCCTCAGCTACGGAAGAAACAGCGTATGAGTGCTCAGCGAGTGTGCGGACAGGCTCTGCCTCGTGGCAGACGTCCGTCCTCTCCAGGCAAAGGCTAGCTGTTCTCATGGTGTCAGAGACCTTTTTGAAACTTGCCCTCAAGTCCAGCGGGGAAAACATGTTATTACTATTTTCTGTTTCGATGATGGAAAATGCATTTGTGATCCTTGGCCCATTAGTGATGGCTGGTTCTTCATGCCTTTTTTCATGTTTTTCTTCTTTAACCACTCCCTTTTCAGTAATACAGAATACATAGGGACCCGGGGAATTTGAGAAGTTGCGATCGGTAAGGTCTTCCAAGAATGATATTCCCAGCTTTTTTCCTGCAGCTGCAAGATCAGTGACTGTTTCCTGTCTCTTGACAACGACTGTGGAACTGTAGATATAATTAAGTATTTCGGTAAACACTTCAGCTTTGAGATCGTCCAGCTCCAGGACGTGGCTGGAAATACAGATTGTATGGCTCCAAAAGATATTTTTAAAATACAGGCTTGAAGCTGCCAGAACATTGCTGTGGGCTTTAAATTTGGTATCTTCCACAATGATAGTGACATCGCATAAAATGCCCCGAATGCGCTGCTCATTTAAGATGGAGAGCACCGTGTCACTGTGAAAGTCGTCCTTGAGGTCCCTGGAAAGGGACATGACTGTCATCTGAAACAAGAGGAGAGAAATGGTCAGAGACTCTTCCACAGGTGGCTTCTTTATCTCTAGACTATGTTCCACTTCTGTGAAAAACTGTTCTTTTGTATGAAACTTCAGGTTTTTATCTCTCTGTTGATGCTCCCAAGGCTCAAGAGTCAACATTAGAAGCTAAATCTTTTTCTTGCCCCAGCCTGTTTCTCATACCATTGCTAATAGTTGTTATCATTGGAAATCCTCCCAGAACTCCTTCCCCTTTACTCCAAAGTTGGAGCTATATATACATGTCCAAATTTGGGAGGGGAGGAGGTTTTATTTTACTTTATTTTTTCTGAAATGTTAAGGGTCTCATCATCACTCAAGGCTGCTGCTTTGAACTACTAGAGCTGGGCAATTCCATGGTCCTGCCACAAGCTTCCTGCCTATTTTCAAAGAGGACTCTGATGATCCAGTCATAACCATGAAGCAGGAAAATGATTTATTTTTTTTTTTGAGACAAAGTCTCACTCTGTCGCCCAGGCTGGAGTGCAGTGTCACAGTCTCTGCTCACTGTAACCTCCACTCCCCAGACTCAAGCTATTCTCTCACCTCAGCTTCCTGAGTAGCTGGGACCACAGGTGCAAGCCACCACGCCCGGCTAATTTTTGTATTGTTGGTAGAGATGGGGTTTCGCCATGTTGCCCAGGCTATTTTTTTAAATGAATTTTCCTTAAGTGGTACCTATATGCAAAGCTATTGCCCACTCAGAGAAGCAGCAAGAACTAAAGGAGCCCTTCCTGATTTGTGGCTCAGAAGGGTCTCTCTCTCTAGAGTTGCAGGGTGTGTAATCGAGTCTGACCACCAGGGGCACCCTGCCTTTCTGCGCTATTGGCCCTGCGGGGACTCATCAGGTTCCTTTTCTAGTTTCCCCTTTAGTAGAGACAAAGTAGACTAGGGCTTTCAAAAAGAACTGTCAGGTACTGAAGGCAAATACAAAGGAGATAAAACGTAAAACCAGGAAAGGACATTTCTAAATCCTTTGACAAGAATGGACAAGAATGAATCTAGTCATAGGTTCCTGAATTAGCACAACTTCAAGGCACAGTGGCTCTTGTTCTGGTCTGAGGATCCCATCTCTATTCTTCTCTGTATTTGCTATATTCTCTATATAAATCCTACTCCATGAGCTTGGGGTGCTAGAGTTTACTAACTGATATTTTAGTGAGGGGCAGTGAAAAGCAGCAGCTTTCGTACTTCCCACAGTAAGAGACAGTGACCTATCTCTTACGATCTCTGTCACAGTACATAGTGACCTAAGACACAAATGAAATTAACACTCACCCTTACTAGGTGTGATGCATTCTGTTCTGCTCTAGTACTTTTCTTTTTGAGATGGAGTCTCGCTCTGTCGCCAGGCTGGAGTGCAGTAGCATGATCTCAGATCACTGCAGCCTCCGGCTCCAGAGTTCAAGCAGTTCTCCTGCCTCGGCCTCCCAAGTAACTGGGACTACAGGCGCATGCCACCATGCCCAGCTAATTTTTGTATTTTTAGTAGAGACGGGGTTTCACCATGTTGGCCAAGATGGTCTCGATCTCTTGACCTTGTGATCTGCCCGCCTTGGCCTCCCAAAGTGCTGGGATTACAGGCGTGAGCCACCATACCCAGCCTTTTCTTTTAAAGAGTGCTTACAGCAACTCACTAATTTCACTACCCACTAATAGATCACCACATGCAGTTAAAAGTAAAGCAAAACAAACAAACAAACAAAACATACACCAAAAAAACCCCTCTGGTCTACAGAACATACTAACCAGCTATTCATCCAGTCTCTCCATGCTATTCTGTATTAAGTGACGTCTCCAGAAAGCCTTACAGTTTGATGATACAACTTTAACTCAGTGGCAATGCTTTCCTGGCACTAAAGTATAACATTTAGCTCATGGCATTTATTTAGTTGGATGGACCAGATGGCCATACAAAGAACCTCTCTTTACCTTTTTGTAAAGCTGCTATTATAAGCTGTGACTATTATGTTATTTAATGTCCTTTATACAAGGATCCATCTGACAAATTCTTTTATAGTATCCAGTCATAGGAAAAAAGTACCTTTCTATTAACAAATTCTTCAATTCAGATAATGAGAACACTATATTCACCATGTTTCTGTTTTAATTCTCAAGACAAAGAAGCTCAGAACTAACTTTTATCATCAATTGTTGTAGCTATTCTTGGCCTGGGTTTCTGGTGTGCGTATTGTTTCATTTTCTTTAACATTAGTTCTTCTGCTCTTGTCTACCCTGCCTTTAACTGTAATCTTCTATGTATCTTTTCCAGAAGTATGGGGGATTATTTCTACAAATAAAACTAGAATGAAATGAAATGGAATCTTATGACTTCCTCTTTGCCCCTGAAGGGGAGAAAGGGTCACCCCGGAGTGAAGGAGTCTGTCCTTCACTGGGTCACAGATCGATAGCATACTATGCTGATGTTTCTTTTGCCTTCTTTGAAGTCTCTCTGCTCTGGGCCCCTGTAGGATCTCCTTTCTCCCCTGACGCATATATTTTTATCATGTTTGGCTTCTCAGAAGCCCACACATTATTTTAATACTTTATCAGCCTGACTAGATAGCTTCAGATCTGAAAAGACACATGCTCTATGATTCAGAAAGGTGGCTTAGGTCTATGCTGACATCATCTATTTTGTCCTTCCAATTCAAAACTACTGCTTCTTCCAAAACATTCTGCTTCACAGCATCCTGAATCTCCCTTTAGGCTCTGCTTCCATTTGGGGAATACGGCATTTCACATCGGGTAATGAACACTCTAGGGTGTCCTGACTCAGATTTATAATATACAAAGCCCCAACCACTTCTGTGGGATTCTGATTCTTCTCTCAGATTGTTCAGCTAGGATGGTCAGCAAAAGGCCGTGTTACTTTTAACACAGAATAATACCGTAGTCATACTTAACAGAACAACATATACAATAAGTATCATTATATATGTCATTAAAATATTGTCATAACTTTGCAAAATCAAAGCATGACATTTTTCACGGGGGGTATCTACCTTTGTGTGGCAGAAATCCTTTAAAAATCATAGTTACTAAGTAGCACCTTGACTTGCCTTCTTGACACACCTTCTAACAACTTTATTCAGTAAATATGTTAATATGATCAGACATAGTACTTGGGTGCTAGAGATACACTGGAGATATGAACAGGAGGAAGGCAAGTCGCTGATCTCAAGGAGCCCAGAGTCTAGGGGAAGAAAGAGAACTGTCAACTAATCATTGGAATCCATGAGGGCAGGCCATATACTGGAGATAAGTATAAAATGTTAGAAGAGTAAGTAAAATTATTTACAGAGGCCCTGGATTACTTCCATAAATAAGTAAAACAGGGGTATAGGAAGGATTCTGTAAGGAGAAGGAACACTATAGGCAAAATAAATTAAAAATGATCAAATCAGATACTGTTCTCAGGGGCTGATGAGGGAGCCTGAGTGGTGGCAGGAGTGGTGTGTGCAGCCCAGTCGACAGTGTCTATATGGGGTCAGGCACATGGCAGGCCTCAGCATGTATCTGTTGAATGAGACGGCCTGGGAAAGAAGGGTCAGACCAGATCATAAAGGGCCCTAAAGGACTCCCTACAGTTAAATTTTATATAGTAGTGAATAGGGAACCATTGAGAGTCATAATGAGATCTGAGCTAAGAAAGTGGGATGAGGTGGGTGAGGCGTGGTGGCTCATGCCTGTAATCCTAGCACTTTGGTAGGCCAAGGCGGGTGGATCACCTGAGGTCGGGAGTTCATGATCAGCCTCACCAACATGGTGAAAACCCGTCTCTACTAAAAATACAAAATTAGCCAGCCTGGTTGGCCACATTTTGCCTGTATCCAGCTACTTGGGGAGGCTGGAGACAGGAGAACTGCTTGAACCCGGACAGAGGTTGTTGGTAGCCAAGATGGCACCATTGCACTCAGCCTGGGCACCCCAAGAGCAAAAACTCCGTCTCAGTAAAAAAAAAAGAAAAAAAAAAAGAGAGAGAGAGAGAAGTGGATGGTTGTTGGGTTGATGCATCTGAATTTCAAAATTTACTTATTCTCTACAAATATTACTGAACATGCTAGGCAGGAAGGCATCAGCTAATGCTATAGAAACACAAAGGCACACATTCAGCTGGGCATGGTGGGCATGGCACCTGATGAGTCCAGGTACTCAGGGGGCTGGAGGCAGAAGAATTGCTTGAACCCAGGAGGCAGAGGTCGCAGTGAGCCCAAGATTGGCACCCTGCACTCCAGCCTGCGGCAATAGAGCGAGACGTCCCATCTCAAAAAAAAAAAAAAAAACAGGACACGTGTTTTCATTCCTCCTTTGAACGAATGCTTACTGAATACCTATTATGTGCTTTGAGGCAGTGGTTCCTAAACCTGGCTAGGCATCAAAATCACCTGAGAGGTATTCAGATAGTACAGCTTTACAGATTCCATCTCCCCTGCTCCTACAGAGATTCTGGTTTAGAACAGCTGGGGTGAGACCCTGGAATCCGTATGTATTTTTATACCTTAATTTCTTTTGTGAATAAGTAATAAATTCATATGACATCAAATTGAAAAAGCATACAGAGTAAACATTGGAAAGTCTCCTTCCCACCTTGTTCCAGAGGAGCACCTTATTTCAGGTAGTTTTTAATCAACTAGCCAGAACCATTTCTAAGGGCTGATATCAAAACTTGGTGCCGTAAGAGAAACAAAAATTCTACCCTCAAAGGTTTGCAGGGTGGCAGGGGAACTAAGATGTGCTCATGAAACACTGCAAAAAAAAAAAAAAAAAAAAGATACTCAGGGAACATCCAGGATCAGGCATGCAGGGAAAAGGTATGGGAGTCAACAGAGAGTAAGGGAGGCAGAAGAGGGAGGCTGAGAAACTCCCTGAAGGAGGAAGTGGCATGTACTGGATTCTGCTGCTGGAATTAAGCACTGCAGATACGGACAAGAGGAGAAAAGGCAACTTCAGGCAGAAAGAGACAGAGT